CTGCTGACGCAGTCGCTGATCCGTCTAAAGGCTTAAGATGGTCATGTCCTGACTGTAGGCAGCGGGACATTGACTTTTATAAACTTTTCACGGAGACCCGTTATGGTTTCTCGGAATTGAGTAGAAATCTCGGCTCCTTGTGGGAAAAGTTTGAGCTCATTAAGTCTAGGTTTGATGAGTGTCGCTTTATTGGACACTCATCTTCTACTCGTAGCGTAGAGTGTGGGACGTCACCTCTGGCTTTTTCCAAATCTAATTCGTTGGTACAAGTTACCGCTCCCTCTAACTCTAAAATGAACAGTAATGTTTCCGATATTGCTGAGTCGGTTGGTAGCAAAACAGTTACAAACAAACCGGCAAATCCATCAGTTTTAAGCTACGCTGAAGTGGCAAGGGTATCTCCGCCCAGAGCCGCCACTCACTCTAATCAAGTGCCATCGCCTAAAAGTAATGAAGAGAAAAATAACTCATCCTCTCCTCCTGGCTGTTCGCTTGTGAATGCTGGTCACTAGACTGGGCAAGTCTCACAAGCTGCCGGTACAAGGGCGATAACCCCACCTATATTTTCCCCAACTCGAAACTCTCCTACTGTGAACCCCCCTCCTGTTCCAAATAATGACATTTGCTTGACGGCAGTTCCTCCCAGAAAAGCAATATTTGTGTCAAGACTGGCATCTGAAACATCGGTGGATAACATAAAAGGTTATCTGGCGACGAAAGTCCCATCAGTCAACTTAAAGCGTGTTAGCATCTTCAAAATGGCTCCTTCTCAAGCTAGGGCAATCTCCACTTTTAAAATATTAGTTCCGACTGAAAACAACAACAACATATCACTGTGGCCAGTAGGATCCTTAATTAAGGAATTTATCCCTCGAGATCGTCCCCGTAATACCAAGGCAATAGTTTTGTCGCCTTCAAAAAACTAATTGTTTCTTCAGGCCCACTATCTCTCATTTATCAAAATGTTAGGGGCCTAAATTCGAAAATCCGTTCCACTTTTCTAAATTCAGTGAGCACGGAATTTTGCCGTTTGGCCTTTACTGAAACTTGGCTAAAACCCGATCTACATTCGTCGGAACTTTTTCATAATTCTTTCCAAGTGTTTAGAAATGATCGAGTAAATCGCATTTGTGGTGGTGTATTAATTGCCATATCTGCGTCAGTTCCGTCCAATTTAATTGAATTTCCCACTTCTCCTGACGTTGAATTTACCTGATAAACATCTATTTATAACCTGCTCCTATATTCCCCCAAATTCTGATATCTCCATTTACAGGAAACACGCTGCCCTCATTTGTGAAGTGGCCAAGCGGTCTAGACCCATCGATTTGGTCGTTGCATTGGGTGATTTCAATTTGCCTCAAGTCACTTGGTGTAACACTGATAATTCTGGCTGTTTGGTTCCTACTTCAACGTCTGATAGGGCTGTTGTGTTCTTTAGTGAATTGTTTGATCATAATTTGGGTCAATATAATCGTACCCCTAATTGTAATGGTAGACTGCTTGATCTCTGCTTTGCCAATTTTCCCGAGATTTACGTAAATCGTTGTCCACCTTTTAGTTTACCTGAGAATCCTTATCATCCATCAATATGCACTTCCTTTCATCATATTAATGATGGTTTGTTGAAATGCCTTAATGTGCCAAATCAAATTTTTTTAAATAATTATTATGATTTTCATAAAATCAATATTGTATTACTAAAACATCGTCTTTCACATCTGACGCTTGATTTCTCAACCGGTAGTATTGAAAGCTTATTGCCATCGTTCTACAGTACATTAAATCTAGCTATTGCAGCATCTGTTCCGATCAAGCATTGTCGACCTCGAAGCAGATGTCCCCCGTGGTTTAATAAGACAATTAAATATCACAAGAATAGAAAAAACTCGCTATTCAAAAAATATTCGAAAAGTGGCGCTGCGCTCGACTATGTCGCTTACTCGGTGGCGAGGCATAGATTTAACTCCCTCAACCATCATTACTACTGCAGATACCTTCAGTTCATTAAATCCTCTCTGGTTGCTAATCCTAAATTCTTCTTTAAATTTGTTAACTCTAAAAGAAAAATTTCCACATATCCCTCTCATGTTTCTTTTAATGGCTCTGGTTCCTCGGATGATTTTGAAATCTCAAATCTATTTGCTGAGTATTTCCGACGAAACTTTTCAATTGCTAATTTCGATTTATCAGCAAACTACCCATATCCTATAACTAACTCGGTTTCAATACCTAACTTGGTTATTTCGGAAGATGATGTTTTCAAAGGATTGAGTTCTCTAAAATACAGTTGTTCGCTTGGACCTGATGGTACTCCATCATGTGTACTTAAATCTTGCGCTGTCGAGTTGTGTGGTGTGATCTCAAAGATTTTTAACATGTCCTTGTATTCAGGTGTTTTCCCTTCATGTTGGAAGAGTAGTTTCCTTATTCCTATCCACAAGAGTGGAAGTAGACAATTTGTTGAGAACTACAGAGGCATAGCCAAGTTGAGTGTCTTGTCCAAGTTGTTCGAGCGTATTGTGACTCAGCATTTGGCCTTTGCCATTAATTCGTATATTTCTCCGCACCAGCACGGCTTTCGGAAAGGGCGATCTACAGTCACCAACTTGTTAGAGTTTACCAGTCATGTTTTCAAGGCTTTTTCTAGTGGCTCTCGCACAGATGTTATTTACACTGATTTAAGCAAAGCATTTGACATGGTTAACCATAGACTACTTATCTTTAAACTCCAAGCCTCTGGTTTCCCACCCTACTTAGTGAAATGGATAAGCTCTTATCTGCACAATAGATCCTTCAGAGTTTTGTTTAACTCCATTAGCTCGGATGAATTCCCCGTTACGTCTGGCGTACCTCAAGGAAGTCACTTAGGTCCCATTTTATTTAGTTTATACATTAACGATCTCCCATCGGTGGTTAATTCCAGCCAGATCTTAATGTATGCTGATGATGTGAAACTGTTTTCTTCCTTCTCTGTTGAATCGCAATCACATCAGCTTCAAGGTGATTTGGATAATTTTGTTGCATGGTGCTCTTTGAATCTCCTGAAACTAAATCTGAGTAAATGTAAGAAGCTTTCATTCTCAAGAAGAAAGTCATTCATTACTCAGTAATTCATAGATTCGCATAAGTTGGAGGACGTCGATTCGATTATAGATTTAGGCGTTCTATTTGACCATAGGTTACGTTTTAACTTGCATATTGAGCTCTCGATTAGCAAAGCTATGTCCGCGCTTGGTTTTATAAAAAGGTGGTCCAAAGAGCTTGATGATTCCTTGATGATCCCCATTACGAAAAGGCTGTACATGTGTTTCTTTAGACCCATACTCGAGTATGCCTCAGTTGTGTGGTCTCCTTTATATAGGTGCTACGTAGATTCAATTGAATCTGTTCAAAAGCAATTCTTGCTGTTTGCCCTTAGAAATTTGGGTTGGGATCCGATTGCCTCTCTTCCTCCGTATGAAAATAGGTTGCTTCTGCTGTCCCTACCGTGTCTTGAGAAACGTAGATTTGTTCTTGGCGTTTCCTTTCTAATTAAAGTAATAAATGGTGCTATTGACTCGCCTTCATTACTTGGTGAAATAAGCTTTAATGACCCTAACCGCTTCTCTAGGCACTTTATCTTGGTTAAGCTTAATCAGTAAATTTAATTATGAGCTGTTCAATCCGCTCAGAGTTGTTTGCAAGAACCTAAATGACGTCTACCACTTATTCTCGTTATCGGACTCTTTAAAGTCCATTAAAGCAACATTGCTTAATACGCGCGATTTACCTATGTC